TTTGTCTTCCTGTTCTCGTTTGGTACGTAGTTCGCCTTGTAAATTCTCCATGTGTGTTACGTACTGCTACAGGAGGTCTTCTATTCGACCGCTGTCCATTATTTGTGTTGTAGAAATGCGTGATAATATGTGGTATGTTCCCACAAGAGGCTTAAACTTGGCGGCGGTCAGGCATACGACCGTTCAAGTGACTAGGCTGCCGTAGTAACGAATACTGGTAGAAATAGGGCAAAATCTGCTGTACCGAACCTGGATTGACAGAGGCCCTGTAATAGGAATTAAGATTAAATTGTAAATATATGTAAATACTGACAATGGACTTACTAACACAGGCTATTACTGACAAATGACAGACCCGACCTCTCATCAGAGAGGGCGCCCCAAATGAACAGGGCAGTAACTTTCATATAAAGAAAAAAAATCTGGTCATAAACCCCAGTCGGGGCTCGACACCAAGACAGACAGACTGACTGACCGTCAGTCGGAATGTGACTTTGACTTTGACTGTGGCCATGTCTGGGCTAACTGTAAACAACCTCCACGCTGTGTGTGGTGCGGAGGCGGCCACCTGCATAAGGAATGCCCAGAGAAGGGAAACGCAGCTTCCACCCCAACATGCTGCAACTGCCGGTTGGCAGAGGGAGACAAGCCACATCCCGCCAACTATGGGGGTTGCAGACACGCCAGGGAAGAGCTGCAAAAAAGAAAGGCGAAGAGAACGCCGAAAACTGCTACGGAGAGGGTGTTCTCATTGAACCTCGTCACCCCAGGCGTGTCCTTCTTGGCAGCACTACGAGGCGACGCAGAACAACAGCGACCACAGGCAAACCCCGCTCCAATGGCTTGCCCTACAGTGACAAAACAACAAAATGTACCGGCCCCTGCACTGCAGAAAGATACAGGCCAGTCAGTTCAAGCTCCTCATGCAAATAGTCAACCTCTGGACAATATGTTGAGAGTTGTGACTGCAGTACAGTAGATCATGACAGAGATCAATGGTGCAGTGCGAAGAGAGAAACAGACTGACTGACCATCAGTCGCAATGTGATTTTGACTTGAAGTCCCAGGTGACTCAGACCTGAGTAAGACTGCGCTGGCAAGAGCCAGCAGCATTAATAGAAGACAGACCCGTCTCCTCATCAGAGAGGGCGCCCCAAAAACAAGAACGTAACTGTCAAGCAGTAATAAATATCTGGTCATGAGCCCACGGGGGGGGGGCTCGACACCAAGACTTACTGACTGACTGACCGTCAGTCGCAATGTGACTTTAACTTTGACTTGAAGAGTTTCAGCGGTGGTCTCAGATCTGAGACAGTAAAATATGGTCAGAGTCCAAAGGGAGTCGGACCCGAGAATGACTGTGCTAGCAAGGGCCGGCAGCATATACAGAATACAGACCCATCCTCTCGTCTGAGGGTCACCCACAAAAATAAGACCGTAACTGTCAAACAGAAATAAATATCTGATCATGAATCCCAGACAGGGCTCGACACGAAGACATACTGACTGTCAGTCGCAATGTGACTTTGACTTGATTCTTAAGCTTTAAAACGTAAGTCTATTTTGGCACTGATCTGAATGCTAAACACCCATTTTTTAATAGTGAATTTTCAGACCCCTCCAGGCGAGAAACTCATGGTCTTACTCGATTTGGGCGAATTCCAAATTTCAGTACCACAATGCCCCACTCATTATTCTCATGCATGAAATTGTGACATGCTGAATATTGTGGTCCATCAAAATATCAGAGTGCCAGATATCATTGTCTCTGATATTTTGGATTCAGGTCACCTACCAATAATATTCCACATAGTGGCTCATGTCAAAATTTGGAATCTTTCGGAACCTTTTGAAATATTCACAGATTGGAATCGGTTTCAATTCCTCGCCTTGGAATTAATATCACCCAGAATCGAAATCAACTCGGGGGGTAGAAGCCGATAAAGCGGCGCGCAACTTTAAAGCATCTACTCCTTCAGCATATAGGCTGGCGACAAGCAAAGCGACAGTTTCGGATATAAGCAACGATCTTCCTGGTCTAGAATGACTATTAAAGCATAAGCGGAGGCTAAGAAAATTGTGGAAGGAAACCAGGGAACCAGCATGTAAAACGGCAGTTAATTGGATCGCGAAACCAATCAGACTAAATGAATCGTAAAAAGGCACTTGAACAGTGGCTAACAAAAACAGGCAACAGTGAAGCCAAACCTCAGGCTATTTGGCTCATTGCGAAATCCCTCCTAAAGAGGCATGAACCAAGGGCACAAACTGCTATTCATGGTCACTGAGGGCTTAAATTTCATCCATCCGAGAAAGCCAACGCAATTGCTGACTGCTTGGAAAATTAGTTCACACACCGTGATTTGTGTGACGAAAACCATGAACGGTGGGTGAAGGCTTAGATTTCAAGCTCTGCTCAAAGCTGTAGACAACAAACCCCTGAAAGAACAAGACCATGTAACTTACAGAAAAAATTAATTCCATGAAATTTAGAGAGGCCTGCGGAATTCATGGTATTCCAAATGAATGCCTCAGACACTTTCCAAGGTCATGGTGCACTTGACACATTTATATAGTCACAGCCTTAGGCTGTCCCATTTGCCAAAGTTTTTGAAGGAAGTAAAAGTTATAAAGTTACCAGAACACAGTAAGCGGCCTCCTTAGTCTAGAGGTAACGTTCCCACCTCATGACTCGTAATACGTGGGTTCAAATACCCGGCGGAGGTCATCGAATTTTTAAGGGTGGAAAAATTCAGGGAACAAGTCCTCCAGGAGGGACTTTAAGCCGTGGGTCCCATGTCGTAGCTTTACGGCATGTAAAAGAACCTCATATCTCCTAAGGAGGTCACTGAGCCAAAATTGCGGACGTTTCCCGCCCAACAGCAGTCTCTAATACCTCTGGTAGATGGGGGAAGCATTATAGATACCTCTCAGCCAATAGAGCCGGTCTAACTGGCTGGGAGGGACTGATGGTAAGTACCAATACCGGTAGGATATAGAGACTGGTAGAAATCATAGAGGGAAGCACAATGGACCTATACAGGTCTAAGTGCATGGGGAAACCCACCCTCTCTAAATAACTAACTAACTACCAGAACACGGTAAGGACCCAAAATTCCCTCAACATTTAATTAGTTAAGTGCAAGGAAAATGCTACCTTTAGCTTTTACTTCTTTAAAAGTTCATTTTCCTAACAAGCCGTATGTAGAATTTTGGATGGGCATTGGAGAGGTATTCCTTCACCTCAGCAGAAAAGGTTTTGAATAACCTCTACCTTTTCAGAAAATCTTACCTCAGCAGGACTAATTTTCAGCAGTAGCAGCCATAAAAAGAAAATATAGCTGTATGATGCACCTGGAAAACAACTTCAGGGCGATCCTTGTTATGATACGTTATGTTCAAAGAGGCAACCACATCCATCCCACTAATCCAGGCATGAAGAGTCCTTTAAATTAAATGCACTGAATTGAAAACTATAGCTAAGTGTTAAGTTAAAACTGTTTGCCCATTTGCTGGAAGGGGGTATGAAATTTATGAAATGTTTTAAGGGGGGCACATTGTATAAAAGTTTTGGAACCTATGTTGTAAAATCAGTTTGATATTATCTGCCATTGACCTCCATTCTTTTGGTCATGTATATGCTGTTTGTTCTGAGGCCCATCCTACCGTTAGCCTGTCCTATTCTCCCTTACATCCTCTGACACTGCTTCAAATTTAGCAGGCACGCAGTTGCGTAGTTGGTTGAGGCACTTGACACGTTTTCACAGAGTACTTTGGTTTCTTCTGCCCATCTTCATTCTAACAATTGCTCCACAATCACCGTCCTCTGTCATCTGGGGCTGGTACAATAGGTAGTGGCTGTAGTACCAATTGGACTCAGTTTCACCCCACTCATTTCTGTTAGAGGCTGAGTCGACCCAAGGGCCGTAGTGAGACTGGAAGGATTAGGTCAATTAAAAATTCCAATGGCTACATTAGATATCGAACCCGTGACCTGTCAACTTGTAGCATAGTGCCTCAACAGCTACGCTACTGTGTGCTCCGTTATATTTGGAGATTTAGTTACTACACAAATAAGAAAGAATTAATTGAGTTACTGTTGTTATTATCTTCTATGTGTTTGTACGTTTATAGTCCTTTTTTGCCACATAATGGCATAACTACTGGATATGTGTGTATCTTACTTTTCTCACATATTAATGAAATATTTAATTTTTCATAAAAGTATTAATAATTTATTGCTATTATGTAGCCTGCCTTATTATGTGTTTTGTTTGTTATTTATTTTTGTGTCCATCTTCATATTAGCTGTAACTTTGTAATTGGTCTTTGGGCTGTTATATTTGTATATAAATAAACAAGAATTAAATTGAATTGAATTATTATTATTATTCTTTCTAAGTATTGTGACATATTAAACTGTTGTTGGACAACGAAAAGGGAAGTCTCAAATCTGAGACAGTGAAATATGGTCTCTAGTCCCAAGGGACTCGGACCTGAGAAAGACTGCACTGGCAACGTCCAGGAGCATATACAAAAGACACACCCTTCCTCTCTTCAGAGAGGGCGCCCCACAGAAACAAGACCGTAACTGTCAAACGGTAATAATTAATATCTGGATCATATATTAATTATTACCGACTGACTGACTGACCATCAGTCACAATGTGACTGACTGACTGACTGTCAGTCGCAATGTGACTGACTTTTTGTACAAAAGGTGTTCGTTTTTGGAAGGAAAACTAAAAAAAAATGTTGATTTTTCTGGTAAGAGTATGGTTTTGAATACAAGTCACTCAGTGTTTCACAAGAAAATCGTAACCGCACTGAGCATTTCCTTCGTGGAATAGAAGTTAACTATGTTACCTATAGAGGTACCATTACCACAATTTCACAATAGTTGTAATACCAGAGTGCCTCTGAAAGATGGCAGGACAGGTGATTCAATGTTGCCAACACGAACTATCGAGCTGATTATTTGCCAGTGGTAGTTGGTGCTCGTAATCGGTCGTAATATGCAATTTGATGGCATATTGTAGTGTTGTATAAGTTGTGTAGTTTTGCAGGGTTAAGCTTATTTCTCATCTTTCTAATTAGTGTGAAAGTCTTCGTCAGTTACAAAAATTTGTACTAACAATTTACACATTTTTGACATTGTTTTTTAAACTACAGTAGTAAACAAGCGGAAATGTTCAATGCATTTTCTTGCATGTTGTATTATCAGTGTCTATTAACCATAGTTTATGACACACAGGTACAGAAGTAGACTTAGGCCACAAGACTTGTTCGAAATCCCGTCTTATATACTAATGACTTAACGTGTTTCTTGCAGTGATAGATAGAAATAGTGTCAACTGTGTGTGAATTAGTAGATGTTATTTACAGAACACAATAAATATGCAGAAAAGAGCATTACACTTAGTTTTCAGTTAATCCATTAGGAGTGAGCTGTAACTGAAAAGTTGGTATGTGTAAGAGAGGAGGTAATATTGTTCAACTATTACTTTTTCTTTACTTAAAAGAATAGGAAGCCCAAGGTTATTAACGGTGTACTTGGCCACAGTTCTTCATAGGAGGGAAGATTTATACCATCAATTATCACTGTCATAAAGGATCAATATATGCAAATTACAACATGATGCACCAAGTATATAAGACACTGCCAGATGATAGGCCAATTATGTCTATACATGTCATTGAAGATCCAGATAAATGTCCCACTGGGTTTGTTGTGGTAAGTGTACTTTTAAATAATAGCACATTTTTTAAACCACATTAAATTGCCAAAAATAATTACAGTTCAGTATCCAAGCTACAGAACTTTAATTTTCAATTTTTTTTTTTTTAGAACTTTGCACTTTAAAAATATAGTTTTATGTTTGTGAACCTGCTTGCTATGAATTAAATAATCCTTCATGAGTGTTCTTCATTGAAATCTATCATTTGCACATTGTATTGTTGGAATGTGTGATAATTTTAATTTTTTTGCCTCTTAACATTATAATTCGCTATAATTCTCTTAATTCCATCAACACAATTATCCATATTAATAGCATTTATTATTCCCAAACTTACCCATCACATATGACTGGAAGATTATGGCCAGGTATCTGCGAAGTGACAGGAGATCAGAAAAGACTTCAGCGTTAATTGTTTATTTTACATTATTATTTTTTTGTATTATTTTAATTGCAATGTCTGAACTCTTGCTTCAGTATCACCCCACGTAAAAATTATGCCTTTGAGATGCATCATGATGTCAGCCTTCAGAGTTTATAAAGATGAACCACTTAGTTTTAGTGATTAAAGGATTATTCAGGTTGTAGGAGGAATAGTTTATGCTGTGTTTTACCAGGTGATATAAAATGTAAGGGAGCTGTCACACAGGACTGTTGCAGTATGGTGGCAACATGATGGTGATATGATTGATGATAACACAATATGGGCCTCACACACTGATGACGATCCACTCAGACGAAATACAGTGGTTCAGTATTGAACATGTAATCAAGCAAAGACGTAATATTGGTTTTTGGATGGACAAGGAGAAGACTGAAAACAAAGAAAATTCTTGTTGTACTCACCCTTCAGCAAAAATAGTGGAGTCTGCAGTTTTGTCATATCTGGAGGACTGGACCAGGGCACTGAAAGAATGGAAAGAATGAAATCCTTTTGCAGGATGGCACCAAGGAACCTTTAAATTGTTAGTAGATCTTGTAGGAGATGAAGTAAAGAAACAGTGTGAACAACAATATGCAGTAGTAGGGGATGCATTGACGTATGAACCTGTGCAGTGTGGCAGTTTCAATTGGTGAACACTTGCCTGAAGATGACCTTGTAAGGATGAAACATTTTGCATGTAAATATGATTTTAATGACATTTTGAAATAAAGGAGGGATTGTGAATGGTTTGTGTTGCATTAGAGGCGGAAGTGATTGGATGACTGGTGCATGAGTGCAACAGGATGCCAAAACATAATATTATTAAAGAAACAGGACACTAACTGGAGAACAGCAGTGCATGTTCAGGAAAGGGTTTTAATTGTGTTAGGTAAAATTACATTACTTTTTATAATTTGTGACTTCTTACATTTATTTCTGTTAAATTTAATGACATATAAAATAATGAAATCTCTTTAGGCCAAGCTAATTTTCTGAGTTGGTCTTAACTCGAAAGTCCTCCCATGCAGTATTGAATACCTGTACTTGGAGGCCAGGGTTGGACACACTCTGATCATTGTGTCTGTGGTGAGGTCCTGTGGTCTAGTGGTCAGAATTCCTGGCTACAGATCCAGAGGCCTGGGTTCGATTCCCGGTGCTACCAGATTTTCTGAGCAGTAGTGGGGTTCACTCGGCCTTTTGAGGATAAATGAGGAGCTATTTCAAGGAAATAGTGGCTCTGGTCTAGAAAACCGAAATTAAGGGGCGTGGGGATTCGTTGCACTGACCATGTGACACCCTTTATCCGCTAAAGTTGTTGCTAACTTCGCCAACAAGTGACGGTTGCTCGGTTGGTATAGTTCACTTATGTATTGAAACTATGGTGGTGGTGTTGTCGTCGTCGTCATCACATTGTATTCAGAGGTTGAATTTGATGACCACAGTGGTGTAGAAGGTTCATTGAGACAGTTGTGACTGAGAATTAGAACGTCGTTCTTGAGTTCCCATTTTTGTTGGGGGTTCATGCTTGAGACATCTGGCAGCAAACACGGAGAATTGCCCTCATTTATAAATGCGGTTCTGATGAAAACGTACTCAGTTGGGTCCAATCAATAGAACTAGCCCCTATCTCTGGAAGCTCAAATAGAATTTTCTTTCTTTTAGGTTTCTCGAACACATGATCAAGATTCGGATGCAGATCTGTGGCGAGAGGGAAGTTTCTTTGGGAAGAAGTGTACGCGTTACATCTGTCTGTCAAAGACTGAGGGTATAACAGATTATATTATAGAGTCAGTAGCCATTATTAATGAAAAGGAAGTGCCACCTGATGGATATGCACTTATCACACGTACAGCTGACACTGGTGAGTAATAGTCTCTTCTCATTATAGCATTACTGACACTCAGTTCCTTTCAAAAAATAGACATGACCTGTCTTGATAGATGTGATCAGTATGGTTGTGTCTTCCCAGCAGGAGACTTGCATGCATGTTTATGGCTGTTGTGACGTGGGAGGATTGTACTCTTGGTAGTTATATATCTTGATGCAGATATACCTGCTTTAACCATTATCATTAGTAGTGTCACTTAAAGTTTCATTCCTAGGTGATGGTTGAAAAATACACTCTCCCCTTGCTTGTACTGAAATGTTGTAACATTTTCTTTCAGTATTAGAGAAGTGATGGGGCATGCGGTAGCGTAGTTGGTTGAGGCACTATGCTACAAGCTGGAAGGTCACAGGTTCAAGTCCTGATGAGGTTATTGGATTTTTTTTTTAATTTACCTAATCCTTCCAGCCGCACTATGACCCTATGGTCGACTCAGCCTCTAACAGAAATGAGTACCAGGAATATTCTTGGAATATTCTTAGGGGAAGAGGGCGGCTGGCGCGTAGAGCTGACAACCTTACCACCATCTGTGAGCCAATTGTGTAGGAAATGTGGGAACCTCAACATCTTGCAACCCTATGGGGCTCCAAGGTCTGTTAACAGGGATACCTTTACTTTTCTTTTTTACTTTACTTATTATGGAAGTGATCAAATCCTCTCATGTAATTTCCAGTAAAGTTGTCTGTCCCTAAGTGATGATTATAATCACACCAATAATTATTGGTCACAATTTGGTAGAAAAATGTGTAACTGTTTGCTGGTCTAATGCCACCCTTGTCCCATCTGACCTCTGTTCTTCTTGCAAAATGTGACTTCTGCTTTACTAATTCTCTTGCTGCTGTTTTCAGTGTTCTATCATATGGAGACTCCTTACATTTGAGAGTACCAAATTTTGTGACCCTTCTTTGTTGCTTAGGCTATTACAAAGAATACATCCAAGTCAGAGGCAGTTGGTCACTTTACATAACATGTTCTTTTATGGTTAGGAATTGTTAACACTCAGCCAATCTCCAAACTGGATGACCATTCTTTGTTGGCTGTCCATAACTGCTTATTCAGTATATTTACAGCTAGCCTCCTTATCTGGAGTGTTACATAAATTTTCATTATTGTGTATCAGTTTAGGTCATACATTTTAACACTTTGCTTCTGGCAATTTAAATATTTAAATCACCCTGGGGACCAGCATTTTTAAACCTACTACCCTAACTTGTGCACTGTTCACTTTAAAAATTAATATAAAATCTCCTAATTAATTTTATGAACTAAAATTTTTTGAGAGCACTTACCAATGCTTCTAAAAGTACTTGAGGGTGTGATATTTCTCGAAACATTCCCCTCTGTGAAGTGGCATTACACAAAACTTGCAAATGTAGGCAGTCCTGCTCCTTTTCTTGTGAATTGCACAAACAAGGCATTGCCTAGAAGGCTGCTTCCCCTTGAAATGTTCACTCTTCACAATTTTTGCGAGGGTATGTTTCCGCATATCACCCGAGAGTCGCCCAGGGGGGTCAAAATGAGGCCTGCGTATGGTGGGAGTAGACGGCCCCGGTCGTACTAATACTGTGTCTGCCGCCACCGTGTGGTCTGTAGCCCAGGCTTTTGCCACATTCAGCAGAAATGCCTTGTATTTCAATTTTGAATGAGGTTTTAGATTTTTGAAAACCTAAAATGAATTGCAAATGGCACAATTTATAAGCCACAAGGCAACTTTCTTTGTCCACTTTAATGTTTTCTGAGGAAGAGAATAATAGGCCAAGTACTGATCGGCTCTATCAGCTCCATTCATGAACATATTATACTCAGAAATACAAACAGGCTTCTTTACCTGTTTATGTCTCCTTTGAACATCAACCATGCTCGAATTGTGAATCGTGGAAATCATATTCACAACACGAGTATCCCTCCAGGACTGAAGAAGAATATCCCCCTTCCTCCTGAATGTGGTTTCACCACGTTTCAGGGATTTACATTTCTCTTTCAGATCTGGAGGAAGGCCTCTGTTCACCCTAATTGTTACACAAACACGTACTTTTCTCAAAAATAGGTGTTCTGCAGTTGCCACACTGTTATAATAATTGTCTTGATAGACATGGTAATTTTGATCAAGATATGGTTCCAAAATGGAAAGAATAGTTTCTTGTAATTTCTTGCCTTCACCAGAATTAATTTCTAAATTTCCAGTATAGCCGAAGTGCTTTCAGTAACTACACGAACAAGTAGGCCATACTTTGTAAGTTTCCCACGATTATATGTTCGCATACGAAGCCTTCCCCTACAAGGAATCACAGATTCGTCCAAAGACAGTTGTTGGTTTGGCTTATAAACTGTCTGAAGTTTTTGAACAAAAAAATTCAATAAGGGCTGAATTTTGAAAAGCCTGCTTATTGATTGTGGTTGGAGTTCATTATCATTGAAATGCAAACCACCAAATTTGCTCAAATCTCTTACGGCTCATTAGTTTGCCGAAAATTGGAATTTCTAAAAATGGATCTGTTGACCAATACTCTTTCAGATTATCCCTCCTTGTATGGCCCATTAGAAAGATTTTGCAAAAAAAATTCTCATTTCTTCTGAAGTGACATCCACCCACTTCAGCGCCTTATAACTTCTGTCATAATGTTCACAGTGTTGGAGATAGTACCTGTTAGTTTCCTGACATAGCGTGTCAAAGAAACTATCTCCAAAAAACAGTTCCGCTATTTCAGACACTTGCATTGGGTCCGATGGAATTTGCTTCACCCCTGGATTTCCAGTAAACTGTCCCAAAGCAGGCGTTTTATCTACTTTTCCCCATGTGGCTCTCCCCGCAATGTTGCTACCTGCACTTTCGTTAGAGCTACCGTCACTTTCACTTTCACTGTCTGTGGCCACAATTTTTTGTTCGCCCCTGCCACACTCACTATCAGATTGTGAGTCACTATCACTAGCAGACTCACAAGAGACGTCAGATAGCTCATCGGAGAACAAGTCAGATATTTCTTCTTCTCCGAGAAAACACTTGGACCTCAACCTCTTCCGACCTTGATCCATTTTGCACTAGTAAGTTCCTGCCTGGTGCATGCAGCTGGAAGATGAAGAAAGGCATTTTCTTTTGGAGTGAGAAAGGAAAACAGTTGGGTCATGTTACTAACTACGAAGCAAACATTCAAGAGGTCTGTCATGCACCAGTCATGTGTCTGCCTGGCGCCAGTGCAAGGTATAGTGTGTTTCAACATAACATGTCCTAAAGTCATAATAATATGCCACCGGTCCGCCACGTTTAAACGCACTGGGCATAAAAATGTGCCACTGGTCCACAAAGTGTTAATGTAATTTATTGTGTTTTACATATTGCTGCAGTGCATGGAATAGTATATTTTTAATGTTTTATAGGCTATGTCAGTATTTATGATATAGGTGATATATAGGAAATTGTGATACAGATGAGTAATTTTGAACTGCCATAACACAAGAAGACTGTTGAGCTCAACTCACATTTAGCATCAAGTCACTTCCATAGCAAGCTAATCAGAGTTCTAGGTTCAGGACACTGCTGAGAGTGCTTTACAGTCGCCAGACTTCTAGAAATATTAACATTACTGCATGTAACAGGGGGTCGAAAAGGTTTTTGAAATTTCTATTGGCCAGAAAAAGGTGGACCTGAAGTTGCCAAGTGAGATTGCCCCAGTTCCAAAAGCCAGCTTTTGAAAGCCACGTGGAACTTAGGCCACAACTTCTGTGCGTGCGTTGTGTGTGTGTGTGTGTGCGTGCGTGCGTGCGTGCGCGCGCGCGTGCGTGCCACTAGGTAACCATATCTTAGAACCTCTCTCAATCGTGTATACCAACCAAATGACTGCCGCTTGTTGGTGACATTAGTGCCAACTTGGTTGTTGCATGGTTAGTGCAATGAACCCCAACAGCCGTTGTTCACTTTTGGACTAAACCCATGGAGTTTATTTTTATTTGTCAGGGGTGTATGGTCTGTGAGTCCTGAGGCTCCAACTGAAGCTGGAGATAGAGTCCAGTCTCCAAAACATTGTTTTAAATAAAAATACAGGACAATGGATAATGTCCAAAAACACAGTAACTTTATCACCTATCTTGTTGTGGAATAGAGTCTGGTGAATAAAAGGAAGATGTTCATTACGACTTTCTTCTAATAAAATTCATGATAAGTTAGTGAATGAGTGGATTTACAGGGGCCTTAATGTCCATGGACATGTGTGCCTGAATATAAGTATATATAAGTATAAGTATATATAAGTATAGTATAAGTATAGTCAAATCATCCTTTACTGAATCCAATATAAAATTTAAAAATTCAACACATCACCTCCAACTAGTGCCAAGGTCAGGAAAATGTGGATCTGTACATCCACTCCCCTGTACATCTTCATGGTGTAGCACTTGAATAGTTAAGCACAGGGACAACTTTACCTTACGAAACTGTATAGTGGCCTAACTAACAGTGCATAAAATTGTGAAAAGCAGCAATGATAAGTAGTGGGTTAAACATGGATAGTAAAACAGGTTATATATGGGCCAGCTATCCCTGTAACAGGTCATGGAGACCCATAGGGTTGTGCGATATCGAGGTTCCCGAATTTTCTAGACAGTCAGTTCACAGATGGCGATAAGGTTGTCAGCCTTACACGCTGGCTTCTCTTTACCGAGCAGGAAGATTCCTGGTACTCATTTCTGTTAGAGACTGAATCGACCTCATGGCCATAGTGCGGCTGGAAGGATTAGGTCAATTGAAGATCTCACTCGCCTCATCAAGAATTGAACCCATGACCTTCTGGCTTGTAGCATAATGTCTCAACCAACCTCACTACCACATGCGTTTCTGCCCATTCTCCTCCTCCTTCCAGCACAGGGCATCCATGAAACACAATAACTGGTAGGATTCCTTGGACAGGGTATCAGCCTCTCACAAGGCTGCTACATGTGTGTACGTACATGTGTGTGTGTGTATGTGTGTGGGGGCTACCTAACACAGACCTATACGCTTTCAGTGGGATTCGAACCCACATTCACAGTGTTCGAGCAGGTGAAGACATTAAATGAATGCCAACAGCATGTGGTGTGCCTTTGCGTTCACTGTATTGAACTCAACTACAGTGAACGCAAAGGTCCCCTTGAAACACAATGATGAGCACACCAGCAAAATACAGAAATAGCTGCACTACATAAAATATATGAAGAAAAAAAATATCGAAAAACAAAATGAAAGTAATAAAAGGAATTACATTTGATTAGTGCACAGTGCATTAGGATTCCTCACATAAGTGTTGCCTGAAGATGGCCTTATAAGGCCGAAACATGTAGTATTATAACAATTCATATATATTTGAATATTTTAATAGTTTTATGTAACATTTTATCAACCACTGTGTGGTATTAGAGTGTGAATCAGCATTGATTGTTGCATTACAGATGGAACATTTGATAGACTGTAAGTGTTACCCCACAGAAGGTATGACCATAGACCAGAATCAAGGAAATTTTGAGGCTGAAGAGCCAGCGCCGACCATAAAAGAAGTAGAACTAGCTATAAAAAATTGAAAAATAATAAAGCTACAGGAATGGATCTCATCATGCCAGAATTAGTTAAATTTGCAGGCCAAGGATATGCTAAGCACTTACATCAGCTAATAGTTAAGATATGGATAACTGAAATAATCCAAGAGGAATGGAACCTGAGTATTGTATGCCCTACCCATAAGAAAGGCGATGTCATTGTATGCTCTAACTATAGAGGAATTAGTCTGTTATGCATAGCATATAAAATATTTTCCAACATTCTATTTAACAGACTCTCTCCCTTTGTGGAAGGTGTAATTGGAGATTACCAATGTGGGTTTCATCAAGGAAGATCAACTAACGATCAGATTTCACTGTCCACCAGGTCCTTGAAAAGTGTAATGAATTCCAAATGAAACACATCATCTTTTCATTGACTTCCGATCAGCCTATGACTCCATAGATAGAGATAGTCTTTTTCTGGCAATGGAAGAGATGCACATTCCACAGAAGTTAATCGCCTTAGTCAGAGCCACTATGAGAAAGACCCAATGCCAAATTAAGATTCAGAATATGTTGTCCAGCCCTATAATAACTAGAAATGGAGTTCGACAAAGGGATTCCCTAGCCTGCCTTTCGTTCAGTATAGCATTAGAGAAGGTAGTTAGAGATGCAGGCATCAACACAAGGGGAACTATATTCTCTAAGTCAGTTCAAATTTTGGCATTTGCAGATGATATTGATATAATTGGTAGAACACAAAATTCTATGAAAGAAGCTTTTCTTAAATTGGACAGAGCAGCAAGAAAGATGAATCTAGAAATTAACCAAAATAAAACAAAGTACATGTCGGTAACCAAGAAAGGCTGTGCTAATGGACCTGCATATATTGAAATTGGCTCATACAAATTTGAGGCTGTATGTAGTTTTACTTACCTTGGATCAGAAGTTAACTGTAAAAATGACATCAGTGATGAAATAAAAAAGTGTGTACTTGCGGCAAATAAATATCTCCATGGCCTTAGGAAACACCTGAAATCCCAATTAATACCCAGGAAAACCAAAACTATGATGTATAAAGTACTTATAAGATCAGTGCTATCTTGTGCCTCTGAGACCTGGCCACTGTCAAGATCGGATGAAAGACTCTTAAGTATATTTGAAAGGAGGATCCTGAGATATATCTTTGGACCAGTGGAAGAAAATGGAATATGGAGGAAGAGGTATAACCATGAGCTATACAAACTGTTTAATGAACGAGACATTATTGGATTTATAAAGGTGAAAATGCTTGAATGGGCTGGACACACAATACGTGCCAGCGAGAATAGAACGATTAAGGAAATAATACTAAACCAGAAGGAAATAGGAGAGTGGGAAGACCAAGATTGAGATGGGAAGAATGTGTGTGGCAGGACATAAGAATTTTAGGTGTAAAGAACTGGAGGAATGTAGCATCGAATGGAGAAGAATGGCGAGCAATCCTGAGGAAGGCCAGGGCTCACAAAGGGCTGTCGTGCCAGTGATGATGATGATGATGATGATGATGATGATAGGTGTTACCCCTACAATGTTTAGGATGATGAGGGTGGTGGTGGTGGCAGCATTAATAATGATGATGAATTTGTGGTATTTTCTATTTATTTTCTGTGGATTATTGTAGCAGTAAAGTAATCAGTTCCCACTTTCTGCAGTTGACTAGTAAATTTTCAATAACATTGGTTATTAGCTTGCATGCAAAATATAGTGTTTCTTGGTTCTGAGATACAGAACTATTTTCCCTACAACAGAAATGTTTATAATTATGTTATGTGTAATAATACATTGTTATGTTAATGTTTGCTTCTAGACCAGCGAGCATGGCGCAAACGACAGCTCTGCTACCGACTGGCAAGACGAAATCAAGCTGCCTCTGCAGTAACAGATATCATCGTGATGGGGCGGCTGAAAAAGGCTCCAAATGGTTTCTCTTTAGCTGGGTATTTCTTACATTTATATGTGATTTTTGTTGCACAGTTGAGCAGAGCATGTAGCATGCATGGGAAAAATGTACAAAATCTGTATTGGAAAACCTCTAAAAGAAAGAGACTGCATCAAAATCTGTGTGTGGATGGGAGAATAATTTTTAAGTGGATCGTGGATAGGCTGTGAGTATGTGGATTGTATTCAGGCAGCTCAGAATAAAGTCCATTGTGGTATGATCTTGTAAAAATTATATTAAAACCGAAGTTTACTGAAATTCAGTGATTGCCACGCCATAGCTCAAGCGGTTAGTTGCTGGCTTCCCATCGCAGCGGCCTGGGTTCGATCCCAGGTCTGGTCAAGTGGGATTCGTGGTGGACAAAGTGACGCTGGGGCAGGTTTTCTCTGAGTACTTCGGTTTCCCCTGCCAATCTTCATTCCACCAATTGCTCCACAATCACCCTCACCTATCATCTGGGGCTGGTACAATAGGCCAGAAGTGTCCACAGTACAAGGGACTTAGTCCCACCCCACTAGCAATAAAACAAAAAGGTCTGTGATTTCCTTGACTAGCTGAGTGACTGTCAACTTCTCAGGAAGGACTCTGTTGCATGGAGGTAGTATGGAACTGATGGATGTTTACTGTGTTAGTACCAGCCCCCATGCTGGACCACATTTGAAAGTCTGAAACAACCTCCAGAACAAATGCCTATGTCATATTTCCAACATTACACTGTAGTAAGTTCTTTTACTGTCTTCTTTAAAACACTATGCTAAAAGATGGAAGGTCGCGGGTTCGATTCCCTGTGGAGTCATTGGATTTTTAAATTGATGTAATCCTTCCAGCCATACTATAGCCCTGGGTTTGACTCAGTCTCTAACAGAAATAGTACCAAAAAATCTTCCTGGGGGTAAAGGGTAGCTGGCGTGTAAGGCTGGCAACCTCACCGCCATCTGTGAACCGATTGTCTGTTACAAGGATAGCTTTACCTCCCCTTCCCCCCACTGTAAGAAGCTTTTTTGCTGTCTTTCCAGTATAGTGTTCCCCTCTGTCTCTCTGTCACTTTACACATGCACTGGGCCCTGCTGCAGATATAATGTGAGCCAATGTCCTGAACTAGCAAGAGTGCCTGCAGACTTGTTTGAGATAGTTCTGCTATTTCAGAGCCCATGTTATTTCTTTGAAAACTGGTGTAATTTCAACATTTTGCACACTATGTTAACATTTACCAGTGAAAGATCAGAAAATGAAACAGCTTTTTCCACTGCTTCTCAAGAGTTCCTTCAGAACAAGTGCTGTGACAGTGTTTGAAGTGTAGTATCCTACTTACAAGAGCATCCTGGTAGTCACCTGGCTCCATAAGGTAACGGACCAGATGACAGAATGTTTTAAGCAAGCTATGGCCTCACAGTCACACAGGATATGTGTGGCTGATTCATCATTTTCTAGGCACCTTTCACAAATGGGGCTATCCATCAATCCAGTTTTGAAGAGGTATCCTGTCAGGTGGCAGTGTCCTGTTAGTAGACCTGTCACCCACCACAAATGGTTTTTGTTTGGTTTTAACAGTTCCTTGGTCCTTCTGACAGAGGGTCCTTGGAAGAATCCCTTTGCCTGTGTGAATCCTGTTAGGGACTCCCAGTATTCGTGATGGTCTCTGTCCAGTCCCTGACAGCTGTCTTGGCAACTCATACTGAGAACCTGCAAGGTGGTTCAGGTCCTATAAAGAGTCATTCAGATCCCGGTTTTGCCACTTGATCAGCAGTTTTATTGCCTTCAGTGATGTTGGACCCCTGCACCCATATTAGTTGAACTTGGTTATGTTCAGCCAGTTTCGTGAGGGACTGATGGCAGTCCCAGACCAGTTTTGAATTGATCTGGTAATTGTGAAGTGCTTTAATTGGAGTGTTGTGCCGCAAATTTTGAGACTAGAAATCAAAATCATTGCCTAAACATTACGAGAGCATTTCACAGTAAGTAGAGCAGTGATGGCCACACATAGGCTGTGGAACGCGGTCAACAAACATCGTAGTCAGCGAAGTCTCATACGATCGCTCCACTTTGTAAGTGGCGTTTGTAAACAACTGGAGACCATGAAATTACAAAATGCAAAGAGGGAGGTGCCGCGATTGCCCGTGACGAGTCAAACTTAGCCAATTAGAATTTCCCGTTTTAGAAATTGAGAATGAAGGGAGAAGTTAACCTCCCTCTCTGCTAGCTGCTGTGACAGCGATTTTAATAATATAAAAATGAGGAAAAAGAAATTGAAACGGAGATCTAAAAACAATCTAAAAACGTAACAGTTAGCTGGAGGCTCTCTCTGACATGGGTACTACAAGTGGTGGTGTCGCTGCGTCTGTATCTCAAGTCATGTTTGCTCATACTAGCCATGCTGTTAAACTTTATGGTTGTTGGTAAATTGTTGTTTGTTAAATGTGAAAAGCAATCTCCATTGCGCCCAGCGAGTTTTCAGGTAGAATATGAAAAATGATGTAACAATTAATAGACAAGGTTGCTAGCGTAGTAAATATGGTTAACGTTAGATAATGTGTCATGATTTACTGGTAGTATGCAGAGCACGCATATTTGTTGTTCATAGTAGTGACCATTGATTTGTGATAAATATACGTTGGCTTTTAGTATGTATAACTTCAGGGGCAGATTATTTTAAGGGTGAAGTATGATGATAGAATAGTGTAGAATTGTGTAATGAGTAGTAGGGAAAAGAGAGAGAGAGACAGACTCAAGTCCTGCACCCTAGAAGGGGAGATCATGATGAAGTCATTGCGTGGTCAAGTAAAGACACTATGTCATCCCGACTGAAAGTTGGCTTTGTTAATACTGTAAATAGGATATAAATTAAAGTGTAAATAGATCAGTGACATAGGGTAGGACGGAGATGGTGTATCGAGTAATAGTAATGAAGGAAGTGACAGTCTCAAGACATCGGCTCTAGGCGAGAGATTAGGATGAAATTCAGAACTAATAATGAAAGGATACCATGTGTAAACCGACAGCACATCGGTATTTCTGTATTGTATATAATAGTCTAAATAGACAGTGTAATTAGGGTAGGAAGTACCCAGAGTATGATTCACACTCACAAACTCCACCCTTTTCCCAGTTCCGACGAAAGGCAGAACTGAGCCCAGGCAGCCAACGGCAGCCGGAAGCAACTTGCAGTAAGGGTTATGAGAGTCCTAGTTAAGGGTGAGAGACTAATAGTATACAAGAGGATGCGTCCTGATGGAACAAGGGACGAGTAATTTAGTATCACTTCATTAGCCTCTTCAGGCATAACAAAGTGATGAGAGAAGTGGGGGATTGGCCAATGAGAGGTGGCTGACACAGAGAATTAGTAATTCTGTTTTACTCACCCCTGCCATCACAACATTACCTATAATACGGTGGTGGGACGAGTCAACGCAGGGTTAACTGACGTAGTGAATGGACTAGCCAAAGAGAGATGGCAGCCGTAATGAATTAGTAGTTGTATTTAACCCACCCCCATCACTAAGACATAATAATTGGTGACAGTGGTGAGATATCCAGTCCACCCCTGTCACAGAGGCATAATATATGGTGTGACAGCCAATGGGTAGAGTCGGGTCAGACCCGACATGCCCGCTCTATGCCATTACAAAGAGGCGCCCGTGATGGCGGGGCCAGCCAACAAAGAACGCTCGACTACCGCACTACCGGCACTTAGTATTTTCATCAACCCCCTTTTAAGATGTAATATATGGTGGCAGCTGTATGCAACGGAGGAGGTCCAGAGCCAGGAGAATCCTGAGAGCAATTTATTATTATTTTCATCAACCCCCCCCCCTTACAGCATAATATGTGGTGGCAGTGGAGGGATACCTACACGCCCCCCTGTCACCACGGCGCAACATGGAGGTTGACTATCTGTTAAAATGTAGATGTTTCTGTTGCTGTAGTTCCTTTTCTCAACTGGGCATGTCTTAACAGCATACACTTCTACCTGGAATGTTGTGGCGTATCGTCGAAGGCTGAAGCTAAACTTCTGCCTTGTGCCAGAACCATACCCTAGCCAGCTCCAGTGCCTTTATTGGTCTTGTTTCCATCTGTGTACCAGTGTAACCCTCTTTTCTTAACGGGTTGAAACCTGTCCTTCCATTCATTTCTCTCAGTCCTCATCTGTAGGATGGGTTCATGCCCTGAGTCATGTGTGTGTGTTCAAAACCTTCGAATGTTGGTTTCTGTTGATTGCCACAGTAAAGTCTGTAAATTCCTGCTCTGGTTTCAGCCTCCAACTCTAAGTGCTTTGGGGAGAGTTGAATGAGGACCTCAGTTGCAGCTGTTGGAGCTGTTTGCACTGCTCCAGTAATGCCCAAGCAGGCCATCCTTTGCAGTTAAGTTTGGCCTTCCTTGTTTTGAGTTTGATCCCAGGCCACCACACAGTAGCAGCATAGGTGACTATGGATCTTACAACCATGGTGTATATCCAGTACATCACCTTTGGTTTCAGCCCCCAAGTTTCTCCAGATGTGTCTCTGTGCATCCAGGTCTTGTTGGTTACCCCATGCAGCTGCTTTTTCAGTGTCAGCCCCTTGTCTAAGGTATTTGACCTCACTGGACAGCTGGATAGTTTCATTGAACAGGGTTCGCTCCTTGGGTCCCCTGATGTCTCTCTTCGTAGTAAAAGTTGTTATTACTGTCTAAATGAGGTTGAGAGACCCATTTGTCATATCGCACCACTGTTGATCTGTACCTGTGGCAAGACCTTGGGCAGGGTCCAAGGGATTTTCCGTTAATTAGGATTGCAGTATCATTTGCATATCCTACTGTATTGTTATTAAGCTTCCATAGAGGTTTGTCCACAACCAGACTCCACAGCAGAGGTGAAAGCACACCTCCCTGCAGGCATCCCCTAACCATGAACACCATCAAGGTTTCTCCTGACAAAGTGGTTATTATGATCTTGCTTTCCATCATAGAGCAGATCCACCTGCAAATAGCAGGCTCAATACCATGCCTTCCAGCAGCCTGTGT